GCAAACTGGGTTAAAAAGGAAGACCCGACAATCTGTTGTTCACAAGAGACTCACCTTATTGATAGAAACCAACACTGGCTTAGGGTGAAAGGCTGGAAGACAATTTACCAAGCTATTGGTCCCTGAAAAGAGGCAGGAGTAGCAATACTTATGTTAGATAAAGTGGACTTCAAACTTAAATTACTCAAAAGAGATAAAGAAGGTCACTTCACACTAATAAAAAGAGCAGTACATCAAGAGGAAAAAACAATTATCAACCTATATGCATCCAATGTCAGTGCATACAACTTCACTAAACATACACTAAAGGACTTAAAACCACATACAGACCCCAACACAGTGGTAGTGGGAGACATTAATATCCCTGTATCAACAACAGATAGGTCATCTAGACAAAAAAAAAAAAAAACACAAAACAATAAAGAAATCCTAGAACCAAATGACACCACAGATCTAATGGGACTGATACAGAGTATTCCATCCTGCAACAGCACAATACACATTCTTCTCAGAAGCCCACAGAACTTTCTCCAAAATAGATTATGTCTTTGGGCACAAAATAAGTCTCAACAAATATAAGAAAACTGAAATGACCACCTGCATACTATCTGAACACAATACAATAAAATTAGAACTCAACAACAAAAGCAGGAGCAAAAACACTCAAATGGAGGCTGAACAACACATTGCTCAACAATCAGTGAATCATAGAAGATATATGGGAGGAAATCAAAACGTTCCTGGAATTTAATGAAAATGAAAACATAACCTATCAGAACCTATGGGACACAGCAAAAGCAATCCTAAGAGGAAAGTTTATAGCCATAAATGCATATATTAAACACACAGAAAGAACTCAAATAAATGACCTAATGCTGCATCTCAAACTCCTAGAAACAAGAACAAGCTAAACCCAAAGCAAGTAGAAGGAGAGAAATAATAAAAATAAGGGCTGAAATCAATGAAATAGAGACAAAACAAACAAACAAACAAAAAACCCATACAAAGACTTACCAAAAAAAAAGACTGGTTCTTTTAAAAAATAAACAAGATTGACAAATCCAGGGAATCATCTGGGACTACTTTGAGAACCTATACTCAAATAAATTGGAAAATCTTTAAGAAATGGACAAATTTCTAAATACATATGACCATCCAAAACTGAACCAAGAGGGTATTAATCACCTAAACAGATCTATAACACACAATGAAACTGAAGCACCAATAAAGAGTCTCCCCAAAAAGAAAAGTCCAGGACTGATGGATTCTCTGCTGAATTCTACCAGATCTTTAAAAAAGAACTAATATCAATATTCCTTAAACTTTTCCATGAAATAGAAAGGGAAGAAACAATGCCTGACTCATTCTATGAAGCTAGTATTACATTCATCCCAAAACCAGGTAAGGACACATCCAAAAAAAAGAGAACTACAGGCCAATCTCTTTCATGAATATTGATGCAAAAATCCTCAATAAAATAATGGCAAACCAGATCCAACAATCTATCAGAAAGATCATGCAACATGACCAAGTCAGCTTCATCCCAGAGATGTAGGGATGGTTCAATACATACAAAACATTAAATGTAACACAGCACATTAACAGAAGCAAAGACAAAAACCACCTGATCATCTCAATAGATGCAGAAAAATCCTGTGATAAAATTCAACACCATTTCATGATAAAAGCTCTGATGAAACTAGGAATAGAGGGAATGTTCCTCAACATAATAAAGGCTGTATATGATAAACCTACAGCCAATGTCACATTAATGGGGAAAAACTGAAACCATTTCCCCTAAAGTCAGGAACGAGGCAAGGATGCCCACTCTCTCCTCTCCTATTCAACAGTCTTAGAATTCCTAGCCAGAGCAGTAAGGCAGAAGGAATACAAATAGGTAAAGAAGTCAAAGTATCCCTATTAGCAGCTGACATGATCTTATACCTAAAAAATCCAAAACACTCCTAGACACCATAAACAGCTTCAGCAAGGTAGTAGGATACAAAGTCAACCTAAAAAAATCAGTAGCCTTTCTATATACCAACAATGAACAGACTGAGAAAGAACACAGGAAAACAATTCCATTTACAAGAACCTCAAAAAAAAATCAAACACCTAGGAATAACCTTAACAAAGGATGTAATGATCTCTACAAGGAAAACTACAAACCGTTGAAAGAAATTGAAGATCACAGAAGATGGAATCCTGGATTGACAAAATCAGCATAGTAAAATTGGCTATACTACCAAAAGCAATCTACATGTTCAATGCAATTCCCATCAAAATCCAAATGACATTCATCACAGAGACTGAAAAATCTACCCTAAAGTTCAACCTTAAAGTTCACTTGGATACACAAAAGACCGTGAATAGCCAAGGCAATACTGAGCAAAAAGAGCAAAGCTGGAGGTATCACAATACCTAACTTCAAACTATATTACAGAGACATAGCAATAAAAACAGCATGGTACTTAAAACAGAGTAGCACAAAAAGAGACTGAAGACCAGTGGAACAGAAAAGAGGACTCGGATATGAATCCACACAGCTATGCCCACCTAGTTTTTGAGAGACGCCAAAAACATACAATGGAGAAAAGACAGTCTCTTCAACAAATGTTGCTGGAAAAACTAAGTATCTGCCTGCCGAAAACTGAAATTAGATCCATGTTTGAAACTAGATCCAAGTATCAACTCAAAGTAGATGAAGGACCTTAATATCAGACCTGAAACTTTGAAGCTAGTATAGGAAAAAGCAGGGAATATACTGGAAGCAAGAGGCGTAAGCAAAGACTTCCTCAGTAGAACACAAGTGGCTAAGCAACTAAAAGAAAGGATGGGCAAATGGGACTACATGAAATTAAAAAGCTTCTGCACAACAAAAGAAATGGTCTCTACATTGAAGAGATCACCCACAGAATGGGAGAAAATCTTTGCTAGCTATACATCAGACAAGGAACTGATAACCAAAATATACAGGGAACTCAAAAAACTAAACTGCCCCCAAATCAATGAACCAATAAAGAAGTGGGCAACTGAACTAAACAAAACTTTTTCAAAGAAAGAAGTCCAAATGGTTAAAAAACACATGAAAAAAGGCTCACTATCCCTGGCCAAAAAGGAAATACAAATCAAAACCACTTAAGATTCCACCTCACTCCTGTTAGAATAGCTATCATCAAGAATACCAACAACAAATGTTGGCAAGTATGCAGGGAAAAAGAAACCCTCATACACTGCTGGTAGGAATGTAAGCTAGTACAACCACTATGGAAAATAGCAACGAGGATCCTTAAAAAACTAGAAATAGATCTGCCATATGATCCAGCAATACCACTCCTAGGGATATACCAGAAAGAATGTGAGTCACATTAGTACAAAGGTACCTGCACACTCATATTTACTGCAGCACTATTCACAATAGCTAAGCTATGGAAACAGCCAAAGTGCCCCATTACTGACAAATGGATTAAGCAAATGTGATACTTATACACAATGGAATTTTACTCAGCCATAAAGAAGAATGAAATTTTGTCAATACAGGTAAATGGATGGAACTGGAGAACATCATCTTAAAAATGAAGTTAGCCAGATTCAGAAGGCCAAAAGCCATATATTCTCCCTCATATGAGGACTGTAGACCTAAAATAAATACAGCAATATTATGGGACATGTGTCACCCTAAGGGGAAGCTGTGCAAGGGAAGAATAGGTCAAGGGAAAGAAATCAAAAACTTGAATGAGGTGACATGCTCACAGTACAGGAATGAATATAGAAATTTTAAACTGGCCTGGGCCACCATGGGAAACGGACTAGGGACAAGTGAAGAGGACTGGAAGAGGTAAGTTAACTGGAGCTGTAATACACATATGTGTGGGAACATTAGGAAACTCCCTGCATAGCTATGTTTATCTCAAACTGGCAGATGTCATGTTTCTCATTTTATCTTTTATGCTTTTTCTTCTACAAAATCGGAGAACAGGAGGGCAGAACAGGTTCTGCCTGGGGGCGAGGTGGCACTGATTGGGGGGAGGGGGGAGGAAAGGGGTAGGAGGATGAATATGGTACACACAATGTATACACATGTATGTAAATGCAAAAATGAAACCTGCTGAAACTGTTCCAGGAATGTGGGAAGGGCGATGGGGGAGACAATGAAATACTATTTAGTGCTAAAAAGAAATGAACTATCAAGTCATAAAAAGACATGAGGAACCATAAATGCACATTACTAAGTAAAAGAAGCCAATCAGAAAACTACATACTATCTGACCCCAACTACATGATATTCTAAAGCAGCAAAACAGTGGAGACGGTAAAAAGATCAGTGATTGCTGAGGTATGAAGAATTTTTAGGACAGTGAAAATGTTCTGTAAAATATGGTAACGATGGGTATCTCAATCTACATTTGTCCAGACTCACAGAATGTATGACACCAGGAAGGAACCTTAATGTACACCATACACTTTGGGTGACAAAGATGTGTCAACAGAGGCACATCGACGAATTCTATAACAACTCAACCACTCTGGTGAAGGGAGCTGAAAACAGGAAAAGTTCACAGGAAACCTGTGCATCTTCTTAATTTTGATGTTTATCTAAAATAGCTCTAAAAATTAATTTTTTTAAAAAGTAATTTCTGAGTTTTGTTACATATAATAAAATATAACGCTACTTTTGTTCTTCACTTATTAAATGTCAATAGTTCCACTGCAACTGCCCATAATGTCCAATATTCATTCAAGTGGTTACACTCTTGTCATTTGATAAACTGAGATCACATACAGTAAAATTAATTGCAGATGGCAAGCTATACAATAGTACCAAACTATACCTCAACCCTGAAAAAGTCATACAAAAAAATGTACTATGGCTCAAAAAGAGGGGGTGGGTGCTACACCACCAAAACTGGAAAAACACAACCCACTTAAATTACAAGTGGTAGCACAGAAATACCCCCTTTAACAATGAATGCAACATTTGAGGCAACAAAATTTCCAACCTATGCAGATTTTGCAGTTAAGATCAAAAAGATGTTGTCTGTGTTGACTTGTGGTATCTTTAGACATGGAGTCAAGCTCTTCTTTTTGTTTATCAGATCCTTCTGGCTTCTCCAATGACTTACTGGCTGTAGGTTCCTAATATAAGTGAGAGAAAAAAAAAATCAGTCCTAGCAGATAAACTTTGGCCTCAATTAAAAAAAATCAATCTATATTTCACACTAATATTTTTTCAAATTTTTTAATTTTTTCTTTTTTAAAAAGAGATTGTTACTTAAAATAGAGCAAAAACTCAAGTCTTCATTCTTCAAATTACTCACTGATATTTGAAAAGAAAAGCTCCATCGATTCTCATATTCAGTCTATTTAAAAAGCACCTACAGATTTCTACAGCTACTACCAGTTACTGTATCAAAGAACCCCAGCAGTCTACATTGTAACAAGTTAACAATACTTTAAATAAACTCAAAAAAAAAAAAACCTAAACCAACAAAATAAAGCTACTTAAGATGAACACTTTAAAAGATTCTTCTTTCTACCTTGAGAACATTAGATAAATAAATCTTTCCTGAAGTGCCATGTTTTGATCTATAAAACATGACAAATCTGTGTTCTTTACCTGAATCTCCATTGCTGCTTCCTGTTCTTTCATTGGAGCATCACTTTCAATTTCTATCTCACCTTTATGAGTTATCTTTGTGATCGGTCGTCTTTCCACTTCTCTCTGCTCTTTCTCAATCATCTCTATGGTCTAACAGGAAATATTTGAAATGAAATATTTAAAATACACATTTCCAAATACACACTTTACCTAATGAGAGATTATCTAAAAATAAATGAGTCATCACATAGATGATATTTAATCTTTAGGCAGTCTCTCATACCAAAAACACATAAAGAGGATGTGCAGAGTAGTGAAACGTGGTATTTACATTTGGAATCAGCTTGCAAATTTAACACTTTTTAGCCTACTTAGTAACACTGGTAATTCACAGCTGAACATGCAGAGTGACAGAATGTAAAAGACAGCTCGGAGTGCAGGGGTTAGGAAGGTAAAGCTGGGTCTGGCCTTTGTTAGTTATAAAGTCAGCAATCAAGTGCGTGGCCTAAGGAAAGTACAGGATGATCTCCAATGCAGATGACACTACAGCCAGTTTCAAAGTTAAGAGGCAGGTGCATATTTGGGATATGGAAGGAAAGAAGATATCAAGATTATTTCCAAAATGAAAGAAACAACAAAATTACAGAACAGGAAGAAACGTGTATGTATGATATATCAAATCAAGGCCTTTGACCTTCAAACAAGGTCTGACACAGACCTAAATGGAGGTTTAGTGCCTGAAATGCAAGTATTATGGACAAAAGACTCAGGTAAATAAATCATCTAGCTAATAGGAACTGTAAGTAGCCATTATTTTGTAAAATAAAGAACCGATATTTTGGGGCTATTGTAATAAAAGTATCAGGCAGCTGGGTATGGTAGTGCATGCCTGTAATCCCAGCTACTCAGAAAAGAGAGGCAGGTGAATCAAATGTTTGAAACCAGCCAGGGCAAAGACAGCGAGATCCTATCTCAAAAACCAAAAAAAAAAAACCAAAAGGCCTGGGGGTATAGCTCAAGGGGTAGAGCAAAGACAAGGCCCTCAGTTCAAAACCTAGTACCACAATAAAAAATTCTTAATTGGGCAATATGGTTTCATTTAATTTTGCTAGGTGTGGCAGTGCATGCCTGTATATCTCAGCACCCAGGAGGCTTAGGCAGGAGGACTACAAATTCCAGACCAGCCTGAGCTACACAGTGAAACCCTGTACCAAAAGGAATACAAGGAAGAACTATTATTTAATGTTTAAAAGCACATCAAGATCACAATCCCTAGCTGAAAGCTCTAGCTAACCAATATAGTGCACATCCCATAAATCATGTGACACAGCACACCAGTTAGACCTCAGATAGCACCACACAATTACGTGCTTATGAACACAGCATTACTGTATATTAGGTAATGTCAGTGGATATAAACACTTAGACATGGCCATCCAGGTCAGGGTTTATTGATAAATTGGCTACTGAAAAAATTTTCTTTTCAAAGCTTCTGCAATTTTAAACTTCAAATAATAAGGGATTACAAACTAGCACAAGTTTTAATCTGGTTCTACAAATTACCAATACTTATAATCCCTTTAAACTGTATTTATGAAAAGTGCATATATGTTTAGAATTTATTTTCATGTTCTTCAGATTTGCAAACTATAACAAATCACAGTAATTCTATAAACTGCTAACCAGAATTAAAAAAAAAAACTGGCAAAAGGAAAAACCATGGAACTTAAAAACAGAGGAAGCTGCGCATGATGGCACATGCCAGCAGACCCAGCTACTTGGGAGGCTGAAGTAGGGGGATCACTCTAGTCCAGGAGTGCAGGGGCAACCTGGGCAAATGAGCCACATGGGGGAGGGGAAAAAGAGAGGGAGGGGGAGGGGAAGGAGAAGGAAGCAAAAGGGGACAGGAATGGAATAGAAAGGGAAAGAGAAAGGGGAGGGTGAAAGAGAAGAGGAAGGAAGCAAGGGAGGGAGGGTGTGTAATTAGAAGAACACAAACAGCAAGTCTGTGTGTTACTATACACTCTGTATTGATTCACCTCAATTTTTCACCTATAACTGAAAAATACAGGTTCTGATAGCCAAACACACACTCTTAAGACATTCTTACGTGTCTGTTTTCTCTTCGTCTCCAAGCAGCTAGCTCTTTAGAAGCTAGTTCTTCAGGACTCATTCTTATAAGATGATCAGGGGTTACTTCTCCCTTCAGTACTTTTTTAAATAGTATCTAGAAGGATTTAAAAATGGGAAGAAATGGAGAGGCAAACATTTAAAAAAGAGGAACTGCTGTACATAAAACTGTAAAAAATAAAATTTTATAGACTGATTTACAAGTATCTAATGATTTATACATTGCCTATTACACAGAGACTAAATAACATCTTTATATTCTAAGGCAGCAAAACATACATTTCATACAAAAAAATCAACACAATGGAGAAGCACGTACAGTGAAAGCATTATATACCTACCCAAAACCTGTATTAAGTCTTCCCAGGGATACATCCTAACTGTGATAATAACCAATCTGTAGTATAGCAATGTAACTGCATATGTGATCTCTACTGGAGGCAATGCATTTTTGAGATTTTACATGTGCAAGGCCCAAGGGCCAAAGAACCAACTGTGAGAAAAGACAATCAAGAAGTCTTAAACTAATTACTAATTAAAAGCTTATAGATTGTACAATTCAATAAGTATCTGACCACTCTTGGACAATGGTGCACTGTACAATGTAGACTTTTAAGGATCTGCTAGTTTGCTTCAAATCCAACAGTCGTCCCCTCAGTATCAACAGGGAGACTGGCTCAAAGACCCTCCAAATACCAAAATCTTCAGATGCTCAAGACTTTTTTATACAGATACTGTCTGCACATGACCTAGGCACATGATCCTACAGTCAGATGCAACACAGTAACATTTCAGTCAACAATGGACCACATGTATGATGGAGGAGTCATAAGATTTTATTGCCTTGTGACAGATGTTGTGGTCATCTTAGTTTGTGTAAATACACTCATGATGTTTAGATAACAGCTAGGTCACAATTTTTTCAGAATGCATTATTGCCACTAAGGGGACACTACTCAAGATGAAATCCTAGCTAGGACTACTTATAATACCTCACATAATGCAAGTGCTTAGGTATATGATTGTTACACAAACTCTTAGGAAAAATGACTAGAAAAATAAGTTTGCACATGTTCAGTACAGATGCAAAGTTTTTCAGTCTTCTGATCTACTGTTGGTTGGATCCATGGTACAGAATGCATGAACATGGAGCATTGAGTATATTGTAGCAAATATCCTTATAAAATTTACATCACTTATGTGAAAACTTCTATCCAAGGAGGTTGCATCTATTACCAACAGTCATCTGTAGCAAAAATTCCTGCTAGACCTAAGTATATGTTGCACAGAGGTGATAATCATGTTTGGAACTTTGAAAACGTTCACCAGCATCACTTTTGCTTTCTGTATCTATCAAAGGTCTCCTTTGCTCCAGGTACACAAACACGCACACATGCACGCGTGGCTTTGGGATTTCCTCTGTCTCAAGCAATAAATCACAAGATAACATTAAGGGTTCAATTAATATTTAGTCCACTGCTAACAGTATTTAAAGCTAAAGTTATATTTAATTTAGTAAAAAATGTTTTACAACAGTTTGGGGGATTTTTTTTTTTTTTGAGACAGAGTTTATAGAGCCCAGGCTGGCTATGAACTCCTGGCTCAGGCAATCCTCTTGTCTCAGCCTCCCAAATAGCTAGGACTTCAGGCACACACCACCATGCTTGGCTTCAGAAGTTTTTTGTTTTAATCTAAATGTAAGTTATGTTCATAGGGATTAAAATTCTATTTTAAGAATACTTCCAAATGAGTTGTTTTTCATACTCTGGATTATACAGCAGTAGTAAAAGAAAGAAAGTTCACGTAAATAAGGGTAAGATATTCACAACTACGCAGAATTCATAAATCAGCAGCAGAAAGATTTTATTAAAATTATATCCTGGGAGGAGCTCAGGGGTAGTGTGTGCTTTGTAGGGCATGAGGGAGTGGGGAGAGGGGAACAGTGGAGGGAGGGAGAGGAACAAGGGAAGGTTGAAAACATACTTACGTTGTTTTTAGGGTCTTTCAGATTGAACATCAAACTTCTGTATTTATTCTTATACTTAGCATCTGTGTCCCGAAAAAAAGAGAAAAGCTCTTTTTCAATTTTGGTGGCAACTTTTGCTGCCTTTTCCTCTGGTACCTTCAAATTTGATTCTGTAAGCCTTAAAATTAGAACAATTTAATTACTTTTCAAACACATGAGGCATGTATTATTCAATCCTCTGCAATAACAACGTGTGCTACCTTTTCATAAGAATGTCTTTGAGAGAATGTCTGACACTCTGTCTGATTTGGTCTGCAGAAGGCTTGGCAGCAGAAGCAGCAGGAGGGTGCACATTAGGCACTGCTTTTTCAACTTTCTTCTTCTTTACCTCTTGCTTCTCATGAACACCTAATATAAACAAATATCAAAACTCATTCAACTGTTTTTTAAAAGACTTTTTCTTTATACTGAATTATGTAAGTTTATAATCAAAACTATTTAGAAGATCAGAACCCATAGTTCATACTGAAGTATTACTGACACTTAAGTTCTAATTAAAATGAGTAGTGATCAAAAAGTGGGCATAAAGCTTTAAACTGTATATACCCTTTTTCCCAATTTAGATAATGGTTTTTCAGAACTACTTTTCACATATATACATTAATTAGCTTTAGAAAACCTAGTCAGAAAACCTGACCTGAACTTACTAGGTCTATCTAGGTGAGCAGATAATTTAGTGACCTTACTGGTATTACAAAATCCATCTCTTCTTGCTGTAACTGTTTAGTAGAATTAATTTGAATGTTAAGCTTCTCAATGTGTTTTTCACATTTACTGATTCCTGCACATCTCTAAAATCTCAGTGTTAAACATCCTATTGAGGGGGGCAGGGGGTAGGGATGAGAGGTGACCCAAACAATGTATACACATATGAATAAATATAAAAACAATTAAAAAAGTTATAAATCCTATTACTCTGATCTAACACACTTAAATTTTCTCACTCTGAGCAATCTTTTTTCCCCTTTTGGCATTTTAAAAAATTCATCTTTAATTCATGTTAAAAACTACATATTACTGGAGCTCCATGTAATGTGTTGATATACATATATATTATATAACATTTAAATCAGATGAACTCTATCACCTCAAACATTTGTAATTTTTTTAGAAATACAATCAAAACCCTTTCTTCTGGCCTTCTAAATATTATTATTGCTAGTCACCCTGCTGTGCAACAGCACACCAGAACTTTTTGCTCCCATCTAACTGTAACTTAGTACTCATAGATCAACCTTCCCTCCTCTTTCCCTTCTCCCATCCTACTTTCCCCAACTTCTGATAACCACCAGTTCATGGAACCACCAGACTATTCTCAGCTCCTATGAGATCAACCTTCTTAAGATTTCTCATATAAGCGAAATATTTGATACTTGTCTTTCTGTGTCTGGATGATTTCACTTAACATAATGATCTCTGGCTCCACACACGTTTCAGTCAATGACAGGATTTCACTTTTTTTTTTTTTTTTTTTGTGGTGGAGTATTATTGCACTGTGTATGTACCACATTTGCTTTATCCATTCATTAGGTGATGGACACTTTGGTTCTATCACTTGTTATCGTCAGTCTTTTTGTAACAGCCATTCTTGGGGACAGATGATACCCCACAGTGGTTTTGGTGTGCATTTCCCTGATGATTAGGGATGATGAGCACTTTCTGTCACTGTAATGATTTACTATCTTCATTGCCTCACTTTTTAATCAACTCAGACTAAATAGTACAACACTATTGTCACTCCCTTGCATACTTAAAACCTTTATTTTGTCTCCTCTACACACTTCTACTGGCAAAACTACAACTCTGATGAAAGCCAAGTGCATCCATAACAATAACCCAAATAGGCTGTAAACATCTGGCAGTAACTGAGGAAAATTAAGCATTGGTACTCACAATTAAGCATTGATAAAGATCAAGTAGGTAACTCAACTTTCTGCCCTAATTCTACCAAATTTTCCTAGCAAATTTGATCTCCTACTTTTCAAGACATTTATTTCACATGTTCTCCTCTTTTAAAACCATCAATACCTCCTTTCCATCTTCAACCTCACTTGATTTGCTCACTACATACCTCACTGAGAAAACAAAAAAATGTCAGATAACACCTCTTCCCATCATTAAATCAACCCCACTTGCATCAGTCTTCTCTTACTACAAACATTCTCTACTACAGGTTGAACACCCCAAATCCAAAAATCCCAAAATTTTAGCACAGACATGATATTCACAAAGTTTCAGATTTTTGTGAAAGCAGTAAGACAAGAAAAATAAATAAAACATACATCCGTATAGGAAATGAAGAGGTCAAATTATCCGTTTGCAGGTAAGATGATTTTAAACACAGACAAACCTAAACACTCCACAAAAAATAAATGAATTCATTAAGGTTCCAGGATATAAAATCAATACATACAAATCAGTACCTTTTTGTGCACAAATGATGAAATTTCTGAGAAAAATGAAATCAAGAAAGCAATTCCATTCCCCAAAATAAAATACCCTGGAATAAATTTAACCAAGAAAGTGAACGATCTCCACAATGAAAACACAAAACACTGATAAAAGAAACAGAAGACCCCCACACATACACACACAAATGGAGACACACCGGTTGTTCAGATACTAGAAGAATTAATAGTTAAAATGTCCATATAACCCAAAGCAATCTGAAGATTTAATCTAATTCCTAACAAAATATCAATGGTATTCTCCAGAAATAGAAAACAACACTCCTAAAATTTGTGTGGAATCACAAAAAGGCCCCCAAAAGACAAATCATGAGTAAAACTGAAAGCATTAAAATACTTGATTTCAAAACATACTATAATGTCATAGTAACCAAAATAGCATGATACGAGCATAAAAATGCAAAGACCAACAGAACAGAATAGAGATCCCAGAAATAAATCTACTTATTTACAACCGAGTGATTTTCAACATCATCAAGAACTTAAGAGTGGAGAAAAATCTCTTTAGTAAGTGGTGCTGTGGAAACTGGAAAACAAGCATGCCATAATACCTCCTTAAGCAAAATTCCTTGACCCTACATTCTCCTCCATCTAGCATACATTTCTGTTCCCTTAACCAGCAGAACTCCTTGAAAGAGTTGTCTGAAATAAATTCCTCCCTTTCCTAACTTTACATTTTTGTTACTACACTTGGTTTTTGTTCCCTATGGCTCCAGTGAAAACATTCTAGTCAAGGAAATCAGTGATGTCTATTCAGAGATTTCATCAGAAGAATTTCACACAGGTCATCAGTTCTGCCCTCTTGAAAAAGTCATGTGGCTTGTGGCCATCAAAATCTTAATTGTCTTCCTTCCTCGCAGGCCACCTTCAGTCAACTTTGCTGTATCCTCTTCTCTGCCCAACTTGTAATGCTGGTGTTCTAAGGGCTGTACTTCTGTCTCTTCATTATGGAACGCTCTGTAGCTTATTAACATCTGGATCCATATCACTATGCACTCATGAGTCCCAAATTTATATAGCTGTCCCCAAAGTGTTCCATTAGCTCCACATTCTTCAGCTAAAGGTTTATGCAAATAAACTTACCTTTGTGTCTAATAGGAATGTTTTAATGAACAAAACATCACTTATCAATTTTTGTCCCCAAATCTTTTTTTCCCTCACCTCAGTAAATGACATTTTATCCAGTAACCATTTAAGACTCTTTCCTTCATCTGCCTATATTTATTTACTCCATTAGCAAGCTGCCAACAATGTTATAAAACATATCTTGTGTGTGTGTGTGTGTGTGTGTGTACTGAGGTTTGAACTCAGAGTCTCACACTTGCAAGGCAGGCACTCTACCACTTGAACCACTCCCCAGCCTATAAACATATCTGACCTCTGTTGTAAGCTAACATCACATCTTTCACAGGACACTGCTATAGACTCCTAATCAGTGCACTCTTTTTCTATTCCTACAATCCAATATCCACACAACAACCAAGGTGTTTGATTTGTCATTCCTTCGTACAAAACCCTCCACAGTTTCTGTAACATTCGGAATAAACTATAAACTCTCTGCATGGTCCCAAAGGTCTTGCAAAATTCTCTCTGAACTCATCTTCTACTACTATCCCATCTCCCACGCAGTACCTTCTCATCACGCCACACTGACTTCCTCACTCTCAAACGCCAAGCTTATTATCTGAAAATCTTCATTTCCTATGCCCCTTACCTAGTCCTCCCTAAAACCTTTCATTCCATCAAATCTCACAAGCTCTCCTCCAGTTCATCTAAACCACTCTCTCTGTACAGCTCTGCATCCACAACTACCCTTTCTTTTCACAGGCTCTAAAACAGCATGCTCCTTTTTTACTTGTCAACTTACTCTCTTCTCCCACCACTATTCAAGTACCATGGAGGCAGCAGTGCTCCCCTAGAATTCAGAGCAATCATTTCTAATTACAAGTGAAGCCAATCATCTAACCTATTTTTACTGCCATTAAAATGTTAAATTTTTTTTAGTTTCCTAAATATATCATTTGTATATGAATAAAATAAATACATTTCTACATTTCTCACTACCTGGTTTTGAAGCTTTCTCTCCTGTGCAAATAACAGTTGTGGACTCTTTTGGTATTTTTTCACTTTTTTCTTCTGATGATCTCCGAGGTAAAACTGGTTGTCCCATCTTTCGAAGAGGAGCTAGCTGCCATTTTTTAATTTCATTATCTCTACAGTCTGATGAGTTTTTGCCTTCACTAGATTCCTGGAAAATAGTACTTGATTCATTAAAATGAAAACTACTATATAAAGCAAACCTAAATCATATGTACATGAAAACATTAAAACCTAATCAGTAGTACAATCTATTAAGAAATCAAACACAGTTCAGCCCATGAAATATTTAAACACAGTGGAGATAGGAGGATTGTGGTTCAAGACCAGTCTAGACAAAAACTTATCAAGACATTGTATCAAGAAATAAGCCAGGGTAGTGGTACACACCAATATCCCCAGCTTCTCAGGAGGGTTAGGTAGGACATAGTCTGAAGCCGGCCTAGGCAAAAGTGTAGTGGAGACCTTATCTAAAAATAAACTAAAGCAAAAAGCCTGGAGATGTGGCTCAAGTAGTAGAGTGCTTTTCTAACAGGCCTGAGGCCCTGAGTTCTAACCCCAGAACTGCCAAAAAAACCTGAAGTTTTAAAAGATATATAACAATAACTTCTGAATATCAGTAAAAAGATTCGCTTTCAATCAAATCCCACAGCTTAAAAAAAAAATTCTAGCTTATACAGGAGAAAAAAAATGACATAGAAATCATCTCATTAACATTAGCAAAGAAAAATCAGATAAAGGTAAGTTGGCCATAGATACAGGTAAAAAAAGGAAATATGGGGAAACAAGCATTTATTCACCGTATTTCTTAACAAATAAAGTCACACTCATCCAAAATAAGTGTATCAATTACATTTTCAATGTGCCTGTTGGCAATTTTAAACCCATGAGGTAGAATACTAGTCCTAATTGTAACTCACAAAGAATTATTAGCAAAACTTTAATTCTGAGATCACATCATACTCAAAGGACATTCTAGGAAGAATACAGTATATAGATACACCTAAGTTTTAAAATAAAGTGTATATACATAAGAATGATTGTCTCTAGAACAGGAATCCCCTAACTTTATCTTTTACCTCTACACTTCCTTAAGAAGAGGAACACATTTAAATGGTATATACCTAAAAAGAGAGTACCATGCCTCAAACACAAGAGAAACTCAAATGGACCAACATAAAAACCTAGGGATAAGAAGTTAGCAGACTCCATAAACTAATATTAAACAGGTCCAAAGAGCAAAAAGAAAAGGAACGAACGATCACTTGGACACTGCGTGCACTTACAAAATCAGAAAAATCCTCAGGTCCTTTTCTAATATAGATATGGGATATAGGAGTTTGTTGAAACGTTAACAGTGTTAATATTTATAATACCTTTTTAGGCAAGACAACTCAGCTAACTCAGCTAAATGACAATACAATGAGCTGTATTTTTTTTTTTTTTTTTTGCAGTACTGGGGTTTGAACTCAGGGCCTTGTGCTTGCTAAGAAGAAGTTCAGCCACTGGAGTCAAGCCTCCAGCCTGAGCTATCCAAGAAATTACACACAAAAGGAAATGATTAAAAGTTAATAATATATGGAAGCTTTCCAAAGATAAACTAGAAAGCGCTTAATAGAGCTCTCAGGTCCATACTACCAATGATGTTAATGCTGACCAAATCAACTAAGTAATAGCAAATATAAAAGGACAAATCTGATTCTCAAAAATCCTTGTTAGAAAGCCAGGCTGGTGGCTCAAGTGGAAGGGCGCCTGCCTAGCAAACTCAAGGCCCGAGTTCAAACCCCAGCACAACCCAAAAAAAAAAAAAAAAGTCAGACAGGAAATTTCAAGGATTTGACAAACCAGAATTAATCAAGACTTGTCTAGAAGAACTGAGCTTGTACATAATGAGGGAGACTCTAGGGAGACATCCTCAGGCTCTTCAATCTGAATTACCTCCCCAAACAGGTTGTAGAAAATTAGCTTTAATAGAACTAAGGCATTTCATGGACACAAACTTCAGCTCAACTGAAGAACCTGCTAATGGACCTTTATAAAAATGGAGATGGGTTTCCTTGCAATGTTTACATAGAATCTATTCCATCACTTCCTAGCAATGTTGTGTAGCATATTAACAAGTCAAAGTGGCTGCACTAAATGCTTCCAGTGTCTAAAGTCCATGTTCTTTTTGTGTTTTAGATTATTAGTTGTCCATTTTTAAACATTTATTGCCACTGTGTTTCCTCCTCAGCAGTATTCTATAATAAAACAAGGATTAGAAAAATCAAAGGCAGTGAAAATAATTAAGAAAATGCAATCAGAATGTGGATATAGTGGCTCCTGCCTAAGGCAGGCTCAAGAGGCTGAGGTGGGAGGATTGAGAGTTCAAGAGCAGCCTGAGCTACATAATGAGTTCAAGGCCAGCCTGAACCATACAGTGAACCTCAAACAAAAATTAATCCAAAAAATTGGTGTGTCCTTTATGTATTTCTCCTCTGAAAGACTGGGAAGCTTGAAATTTCTATTTAGAAAATATTTTCAGAAGGTAGTTAAAAATGTTAAGATCAGAGAAAACTGACAACTTTTTAAAAACATCCCTATTTTAAGAGAAAGTGTGAGATAAGAGTTCCAAGCAAGTATGGTAACAAATGTTTTTAGGAGGAAAAAAAAAAAGGCTATTTTTCCTTAAAGAAAATAACTCTTCCAATAATGCCAAATGATTAAATTAGTAGATACTGGGTTGGAGACATGGCTCAAGTGGTACAGCGCCTACCCCAAAATTGCAGTATCACCCCCACCCCTCAAAAAAAGCATTAATAGATATTTATGACTGAAAAGGTGTTTTTAAAACTTAGCAAGCACAAGCTGGGTACCAGTGGCTCACACCTGTAATCCTAGCTATTCAGGAGGCAGAGATCAGGAGGATCATGATTTGAAGCCAGTCTGAGCAAATAAAACTCTTCACAAAAATAAGGCAGGCTTGCAGAATGGCTCAAGGTGAAGGCCCTGAGTTCAAGCCCCAGTAACACACACACACACAAAAAGAAAAACCTTAGCAAGCACAATTTATACTGAAGGCCACAAAACAAGAACATCCTACTACAGAAAATTCAAGCATCAAACTACAGGCTAGAAACAGCACAAAAGAATGAGAAAAAGGCTTTATTCTAAAGATGCCAAAAATAAAAAAAAAACTAAAATTAACTCATTCTTACAAGAAAATAAGAATGTCCACTGGAACACTGAACCTTGAAATAAGTTTCAAGCCTCTTGTGGTCTGCACATACAAGTTTCTTATAGTAACAAATATATCAATGAAAAGCTCACCCGTTTTGAAATTTTGACCTTGTGCTTCACTGTGTCATCTACATATTTGGTTTTGTCATTTGTTATGTGCTTTGACGACCCAAGCTTGTCACATTCCACAGCTTTATCTTCACTATGGACTTCAAATGTAGCGTGGTTCTCTGAAGTATCAGTGTCTAACATTTCAGTCTTTTTGTCTTCTTCAGCACAGCATTTCACACACACATATTCCTTGTCCTCCTCTCCCATTTGTTGTGCTTGAGAAAGACTTAACCCAACACAATCACCATGAAACCAGTCATCACATCTCCCACAGCCAACCATAAACCTGGAGAGGGGAAAAAGAAACTGATATAAATGCACATTTTAAATTAATGTCAAAAGTGAGACTGAATTAAATTTTGTTACTTTGCATGTTTTTCATCTTTACCCAATTCCTAAGTGCAAGATGGAGCAAGTTTTCAAACAGAATATTCTACAAAAATGGAATTTGGACCAAATATTTCCCTCTGATATGCCTGAGAAAATACTGCAGAGAGGGGACAGCACACACAAACACCACCAGGATGAAACCAAGGTTTATCAGTACAGAGTAACAAAGAACTCCTATACTGCAGAGGCTAAAAGAAGGCACCCAAAAGATCTGCTATAAAACACAAAGCTGGGAAAGAACTATTTATACAAATTAAGCAATTTATTTATGACAAAGGTATCAAAAACTAACAATGGAGTCTCTCAGACTCTTTCTTAATGGCCACTTTATACAAGCTCAAAATATTCGTTCAGTCATGTTGATTCAGCTCTTTTGGATGAGGACTTTCTTACTAATGCCCAAGTTTCAGATAATAAACCCATTTTCACAAATAAAAGACTGGCCTGGGGGCATGGCTCAAGCGGCAAAAACTCTTGCCTAGCAAGCCCTAGTATTACCAAAAACAATCTACTTTTATCTTAATATAGACTAATATTCAGGTTGGGTTTTAATCAGAAACTCATCATCAGTTTTCCTTTTACTGCAAGTTTTACTGAGTTTTAGCTAAAACTCACTAGCTGAAAGTCCAGGGATATGAGATTAAAAATCTATTTTCCTAATATAAAAGGGTCTTTGCAACCACTTTTGAGTAAAATAGCAAACTGGATATACGAACAGCAATATGAAGGAAAGAGTTATCTTACATAATCCTCAACCCATTGTCAGGAAAGCTACAAAGCCCACTTCAAACATTCATGCTAAACATTTTCCTTTTTTCCTTCTTTGGTCTAGCAATTCATGGTTTGCTTATAAGATTCAGTCCTCACTTAAGGACTTTGTGCCACTGATTTTGATAAGGGTGACATAGCCACCAGTGCCAAAGGAATGTCAATTACACTAGGTGGTATAGCCAACTGTGAATACACCAGAGGCCATTTAAACATGGGGACTGGAAAAGCTAGAACTCTTATCTTCACAAGGTGTTTTTAGAGTCATGCTAAACACCTCATTCCTCAATGGCAGCACTTCTTCCATTTCTGCATTGTATGCCAAGCTACTGTTTGTTACCTCTGGGACCTGACCTCATGTCTTGAGTTAGCTATTAAGTAATGCCTGTGCTAGTTTTATCAGTAGTTCTCATCTTACCAACGACGCTTTGCTTTGAAAAATGAAAACTGATGTAATGTTTTGGATTCATGAGCCAAGTGAGAAAATTTTCAAATTGATGTGTGTATGATAGAAATAGTTTCTAAAAGTTTGAGATTTTCAATGGCTTTCATGTTTCTCCCAATAGGGAGAAAAGGGTTTGATGAACTATTCTTCTACTTCTGGTTGCAAAGTTAAAAGGGACTGTTAGTTAATGAAACCAACTGTCTAATATGAGAGCTTTGAAATACTGAAAGAAAGCAAATGGTAAGCTCTTACACAGCCAAAGCTGTATTAAGATTTCTTCAAAGGAAGCTTGGAACATTTTCAGTAAACACAACTTAAAAACTTACAAATTATGCTTTTATTCCAAATCAAATTCTAAATGTCAAATTATAAAACACAATGTGTTTTCAAATTTTTATTTGACTTAACCAGGGAAGACAAGTTTTATGATACAATTTGTCAGGTCATTATTTCACCATACCTATTTCAAGCTTATTTTGGAAATGTCTCAAACTTAAGAGGCTTTGAAAAGCAAATTTACAGTGCCATCTATGTTATCTTAATAGTTCAGGTTTCATGTTTTAAAATGCAGCTAAGTAAAATTTTCTAACAAATCAGGAAAAAGTGAAATTGATAAAAAATAATCTCCACATGTCCACAGGGAAATAAAATTCACTTTAATGTGGAGCTGATTACCCAACCATATTTAGGCATGGAATTTAAATATATTATAAAGTTCTCAATCTGTATTTTTTTCTTTTTTAAAATGGCTTCTCACAAAAGAGGGTGTTCTGTTCCTTTTCTGGGTTACTGTTCTACTTTAAACACAGGAATAGGGAGGCATAGCAAAAGCAGCAGTGGGAGCAACTTTGAGTTAACTCTCCCACTCTCTGCTCTGTCCTTGACTTCAGACTATCAAGGGACAAATCTCTAAAGACAGTATCATCTGATTCAGTTAGCTGGAACAAATCAGTATGAGTCAGAGTGCAGCAATTATGTTGTCTTCTTTTACTATGATGTGTTCATACATAAGCTAACAGCAAAAATAAATAAATTAGATCTGCCATGGGACAATTAAAAGCACACTTAAACTTCTAATATTTATTCTAATCTTTTTGGCATGAATCAAAAAATATTCTTAGAAACTTTCAAGTTTCTCCAAAGTAAATTACAGAGGAAACACTGAGAACTCCTCCTTTTAACAAGTTCATGTCACAAATTTATTAATATTATAGGCACTGGCCTTCAGTCCTAGCAAGTGTTGCCTGTGGGTGAGAGTCTGTGAGCACGTTCCTGTGACTGAATATGTATTCACTCTTCCAAGAAGAAGGGATTCTACTCCACATAAACATTAAGTCACTTGAATAAACAAGCTAATCTGCAGAGAAAAAATATTCTCTATAAAACTCTTGAAATCCTGGGAAAAGCCAGTTAACATTCATACTAGAAAAGAATTTCCTTCCCAAAAACAGTGCTGTCTGAATATAAAACATGAATCCATTTTTTGGTTTTCTGCCTTTTCTAAATTTCATGTACAAATCTACAACTGGGGCCAAGAAACTGCAATCCATATTAAAGATAACAAGCATATTTTGGGAAAATGAAACCACAGGTAGATAATATATAAAGACTAACACTTCTTCCTTTCAAAATATTAGCTTACATTGAAGAGGTTCAAAAGTCACATTTATTTAAAAATAAAAGACAATAAAAGTCTCATTTTAAAAATAATTTATGTTTAGTATAAGGCTGAATCAGGAAAATAAATGGAGACAAAAAATAAAACAATAGTAAAACCCCAATACCCAACATGTTACAATAGACCTACTGTCTTCAGAATGTGCAAAAACTGCTATGGTCAAATACCACATCTGGCTGTGTCGGGAATGTATTACAAAACATAATTTCCAACTAGACACATACAGTTGTAATGTATGTAAAATACTGAAGAGTTAATGTATGTCATTAATGCCAGAAAATGTCATGTGTCATACTGACAAAGTTTCCAATGTGACTAGTACATGAAACCAAAATTAAAGTTATTTACATGTCTCTCCAAGCAAATTCACATTTTTACCTATGGATTAAAATTAGAACATTACATACTGTGTGTGTGAAAGGTACATTTTTCAGTAAACTCAATGTATGCAAGCACAATATAACAAAACAGTGATGGCTAGTATAAGTAAAGAAAAAAGCAATCAAATTACTTAGGCTTCTTTATTTGAATGAAAGATTATGTAAAAACTGCTTCAAAACCTGATTGTTTCAATGTTATATTATCCAGGTCAATTACGGGGTGAACCCAAAATCCCTATATAGCTAACATTCTACAGTTTTTTTTCCAGACTGGGGCAAAGAAATTCTGTATGTTATACCATAGACACAGAAAGTGACATTAGGTTAAAAAATTTTAATGAAACACCTAATCTTCATTTTACAAAAATGACTGTTGATGACAAAGTGACAGTCAGCATCAAAACACCTGCGCAAAATCCTGAAGACTGGCATTACAGCAGTTTATGTATATTGGGCATCGGTGGCTCACACCTGTAATCCTAACTACCTGGAAAGCTGACATCAGGAGGATCCAGATTTGAGGCCACCTAGGGCAAATAGTTCACAAGACCCCATCTCCAAAATAACAAGCAAATGGGCTGGAGGGGTGGCTCAGACAGTAGGGCCCTGCTTTTCAAATGTAAAGCCTTTAGTTCAAACTCCAGTCGGACAAAAAAAAAAAGAATCTTAAAGTTACATTATAACATACTTAAAACACTTCCAACTCTAGGTCCAAGTTTCACTCAGTGCTCCTGCTCCATTTCTCTGACCATACCTCTATGTAATTATTTTTGTAAGATTCTAGCATATAAAACGTCTGGCTTTTATTAAAAGGGAACTGAAAAGCACAATTAAACCATTAATTCTCTTAAGTCTAAAAACAGCAAGCTCTCTTCAGAATGAGTGAAGCAGGTGTTTTAAATGAAAACCATGAGTTAAATGGGGCAAATAAAACACTGCATTCACACAAGTGACTGGAGTACACTTTGTTATGAAGTAACTCCTGACACCAAAAATAGGCTACTGGCTGGCATAAAAGAAGAATCTGCTGGGGCATCATGGTGCACACCTGTAAAATCTCAGCACTCAGGAGGCTGAGGCAGGAGGAATTGCCAAGTTCAAGGCCAGCCTCGATACATGGCAAGACCCTGTCTCAAAAATAAATACATAAGTAAGAAACCCTATGGCATAAAACATTTTTTAGAGCAGCAACACCACCCCTGCCCTCCAAAAGAATGTATTTCAACACACTTGACTCTAAATTTGGTTTCATTTCATATAATCTGATAGCACTGGGAAAAGTCACTCTGACATTTACTCTCGTGAAGACATATACTACTACTATAGTATACAAATTCTAATTTATTTTTATCGTGTTGATAGAAGTTCCAACAGCAATGAAAACACTTCATCAGGACAATCTTGTAGCTGCAAACGTCACTTCATCTGTTTTCTTCCTTTTCATATAAAAAATATGAAATAAAAAATACACTAGGGATGGGGAGTAAACTGTCAAACATGGAATCCAAAAAAAAATAATGAAAAGTGTTGGTTTAAAAAAAAAAAAAAACTAGAATTCTGAAAGATTAGAACTCACAAGAAATTGTTAAAATCACTGAAACGTATCAAAAGGAAGTACACGTTTTAACTCTACTCCATTATACACAAAATTCAGTTACTTTAGCTATCAAATTTCATTCTAAGGTCAAGTTTGATGGTTTTAAGGGGATGGTACTAAGTTGTTAATGTGCATCATTAAAAAAAAGAAATAACTTCAAAAGAAAAATAAAATTTCCATTATGACCTTCACACTTTATTACTAGTTCTTTTCCAGCCAAATAAAATTATATATAACTTACAGTCTCAAGGCAGCGTCACAATTTTCTGATTACCAAAATGGTGGGGGGTTTTGTTTGTTTTTAATCAGATGCAATGACTACACTCAACTGGTTACAACACATTCCCACATGTATGGGACTATGCTTGTTAAACGTTCTAGGATGATATATTTGGGGATTCAGTAGTTCCAGCTTTCTATCATTTATCCAGGATTGATGTGGGGCTTGTGGAAAAGTCTTCAAATAAATTCTTCCTATTAAAAAATGTTCTCACACTAATCCCACCCCCTCAAAAGTTTTTTTCTCTTCAATGTACACATCACTCATACACACACGCATGCACACACACCTGTTGCCATGTGGTTTTTTGCAAAACCCACATTGCTTGCTGGGAGTCCACATGTATTTGCTTTCAAATGAGGAGCAGTGATCTGAACCTTCTCTTTTTACAGTAGCTATGTTGTCTGGAATGAACAACGGTGGCTCATCCAAAGAAAAACTTCTGCTGCTTCTTCTCTGGCGAGGCTGTAGGTTCTTCTCTGGTTTCTTTTGTTTCATTTTATCCTCCTCCTTGACATACTCACTCGGCTGTTCCTGCTCTTCCTTCATATGACCAGTGGCTTTCACAACTGGTGCTGACTGCTGAGGCTTCTGGCACTGCTTCTGGCTGGGATGTGGGACATTTCCAATGTGTGCAGGGTGATGTTCACGTGCTAAGTGTTGATCCTGTGTTGTTTTCTTCAATACAGAATGGCCTTGATTTTTCACAGATTTGACTCCAGAATTGCAGCTCTGAACCTTTGGATCCTTCTCAACTTGTTTTTTCCTCACTTTGACTGGCCTGTAACAATTCTGCTGAGATTCTGCTTCATCGGCATTTCGTTTCACACCTTTGATATTAACTTTAGTTTTGTTATGAAGTCCTTCATGCTTTGCTGCAACAATTTTCCTTGGTGTTTCTGTGGGTACATTTTGCTTAGAATGAATTACAGGTTTTGCATGTTTGGATTTTACGTTTTTGGGCTCTAAGCTGCTTCTGTCATCCTGGAGGTCTGCTGTTTCATGAGACTGCATTTTAATGCTTTCAGTAATATTCAACTGCTTTGAATTTTGGTCAGGCACATTACAAATAGTATTTTCTAAAACATTAGTCGCTGGTTCAAATGCACAAGTGTCTAGCACTTCTAAGTCTGATTTATGAAACTCAGTGCTTGGTGACTGCACACTGTGGGACTCCGAGTCTTCACAACAACCCAATGGCTCCACTGTGCTTCTCTGAAGGGAGTTCTCGGTTTCATCAACACCACCCATAGTGTTCTTCAATTGCAAATGACATTCAGCCACTTCATCCACTGAGCTAGACAAACCTGCATTATCTGAATGTGTACAAGCAGCATCACCAGAAATATCAGAAGCTTCGGGTTCCTTAATAATTCGGTCATCTTCATGGGATAATTTTACAATCTCCTTTGATTCTTGTTCAAGTTTTCCCTCTGCCTGCCTTTCTTCAATAGCCTCACCTATTTTAGTTGAAATGGAATCATTCTGTTCATCTTCTTCTTTGTCTGAAAACTTAAATAGCGGGCTACTAACAGTCTCAATTGTACATTCCATCAGAGCTTCATTTTTCTTCTCTTCAGTACTAACACAAGTCTCTGAAAGAAGTGGACAATTTAACTCGTGAGATGGCACATGTGCTTGTCTCTGACTGCTACACCTATGATCGGAGTCTAATCCAGCTTCATCATTCATTTCATGGGAGGGTGACACTGAAGAATGACTTGAAGACACTGATACTTCTGGTGCCCCTTCAATTTGCTCAGTGTGGCGGCTGCTCCTTCTGTTCTCCTTATGGTACTCGGATTTCAATGTCATGCCAACTTCTTCTTTAAGCTGACACCGTTCTGGTTGTCTCACTCCTACTTTAGGGGCAGATGCAATCTTCCCGGATGCTTTCTTTGTGCTACTTAAAGGGGCTGCACTGGAACGCTTAGCAATAGTGCTCTGTCGCAGACTTCTCACTTGTTCTATTGTAAGGAAAAAAATAAACAGAAGTGATCATTTCAACAAAAAGGTACTGTACTTGTGATGATCTATAGATATATAAACCTATATATATATATATATTCATATATAAATACAATTTAGCACATGTCTATTTTATACTTATCGAAACTTTTAAATTCTGGCATGGAGAACCTCTATTAAATTGAGATTGGTATTATAAACTTATTACAAGAAATGTTTTCATCAAGTCTCTTCTCCATAAGAAGGTAGAAGTCAAAATGAGTAAAATGAGCCTTAATCATTAATGCTTATGAAGAAAGATCATCATACATTTTCAAACATTAAGTATTTGTAAATTATACGAAACCAAGAAAGTTCAAATGACAATAAACTCAAGTAAAACTGCCTATCACACACAGGAGCTGGGTATTTCAAGAAATAACCTCAAAAGATCTCTAATTCCTTTTTCAATATATTTCTGTTACATTACCATTTTATCATTCAAACTAATTTTTTTGGGGGGGCGGTACTGGGGACTCTACCACTTGAGTCAGAGTCACTCTACCAGCCATTTTTGTGTTGGTTATTTTTGAGTTTATGCCTGGGCAAATGTGAACCTTGATCCTATTTGTGCTTCACTGTGTAGACAGAATGACAGGCACATGTCACTGCACCCAGTCATTGGTTGAGATGGAGTGTCACAAACTTTTTGTCCAGGCTGGCCCTGGAACTATAATCCTCTTGATCTCTGCCTGCCAAGAAGTAGGATTACAGGCTTGAGTCAACACACCTGGCCCATACTCGGGTCTGAACTCAGGGCCTATACCTTAAGCTACTCTGCCAGCCCTTTTTTGTGATGGATCTTTCCAAGATAGGGTCTGGCAGACTCTGCCAGCCAGGGCTGGCTTTGAACTGTGATCCTCCTCATCTCTGCCTCCTGAGTAGCTATGATTATAGGTGTCAACCGCTGCCACCCAGCTTATTCTTAAGAAAGAAATGTGTATATCAGTACCACAAACACACCAAAAAATTTACAATTGCATTATAATAGAAAATAAGGAAAGTACAAAAAATTTTACAGAGCTTCCCACCTTTAACAATGTTGCTAAAAAATCTTCAAAGAGAAGGAGAAACACAAAATGCAAACTGGAAAGAGAACTAAAAATTTCACTAAGCAGAAAAAAATCCACAAATTAAAACTCAAAACATGAAACTACTTGCAAGGTTGTGCCATCCACCAATACCTCTAATTAAGTCCACATGGACACACCAGTTTTCTAAGTCACAGAACCTACTGTGCTCTAGTATTTTCAGTAGTTCCCTACTTTGTCATTTATAATAGGACTATGAGAATCTTTAAGGTGGAGTGTGTCCTTGCCTGAAGCAATCCCAGGTAATGCTCAAGACCCTAATTTAAAGTTATTAGTAGCACTCTTTCACTCTCTATTTTTACCAGTTTGTAAAATGAATTTAATCCTGGGAACCCCTTCTAATTTCCCGAGGACTCAGGCACAATCTCTGGACAGTAGGAAAGTACTTCTTTGCTTCTGGTATGGGGGTTTCTCAGGACCTCATGCTTGCTAGGCAGGCACACTACCACTTGAGCCACTCCACCAGTCCAAAAGTATAATTTTTTAAAATTATTTAATGGATTATGAACTATTTATTGCAGGCTAGGGTACATATTTTTTAAATAATTAAAACTTGAATGAAGTTTTATTTCAATATTTAGATGATTTTTAAAACTTTGAACTCTATTCATCTTGAAATTGAGTAATTTTTAGCATCCATTACTCACTAATAAATGAAGAACTTTTAATACCTACTTGGAGCCTAAAAAGAAGAAAGGAATAGCAGTCAACTGTGAATATGTCCTAATAAAATACTATTATTTGCTAATATTAAGCAATTTACTCAGCAAAAGATAAAGTCACTTTTTCTCCTCTAAATAAAAACTCCCTTAGTTTGAAGCCTGGCTCTATGGGCAAAAATTTGTTATTTTTCTACAATGCTCATTCTACTCATTTCTCAAAGTCTTAAGTGTACATGTGCCAAATAAGTGATTTTTAAAACTGATTAAAAATATAAATCAAGAAATGAGACAAATACATGCAACTAAGCTTACTCATTATTCATTCCTCAAAACCCCACTAATAGCTACTTTAAACAGATTTCATTTGAAAAGAAATGAACCCAAAAGAAAAGGAAGAACAAAAGAAGAAAACAGCAACAAATTTTTGAAAGCCAGACAAGAGAGGTTTAAGAAGTAACTGATGTAATAAACCCAACAGCAGGATTGGCAAAAACCAAAACCATTAACACTAGCCCAAAACTGGCTGTACCTCCAGAGAAAGTAAAGAGGGTTTCTACAGTGAGGAACTATGAAAGGAGTTTTAAACATTTTTTAAAGACTTGTATGTCTTAATAAGGTTTTATCTATTGCACAGATAAAAACAGAATGCTACCAAAAGTGCCATCACCAAAACAAAACAAAAGTACATTTGGAAACTGGAAGTACAAACCCTGATGGAAAAGTTTGAGAATAATCAACGAGTTAAAAAGCCAAAAAGGTAAGAGAGTAGGCAAAATGAAGCAAATGGATGGGCCAGCCTCTGCCATCTGACACTTGGATGAGACGAGTTATAGAAAGAAAGAGTTAAGAAAATTCACTGTGAAATAGTTCAAAAATTTTCCCAGAATTAAAGACGTTTTCAAACTAAAGGTTCTAATGAATAACTCAATATGTAAATATATACCTAACACCAAGATATATTTTCATGAAATATCAAAACACAAGAGCTTAAGATGAAAGTATCAAAAACAAACAAACAAAAAAAGAGTAATTTTCTCCTAACACTTAAGTTAGAAAATGGAGCAACACCTTCAAATTTCCAAAGAAAAGTGATTTCCAACCTTGAATCCTATGTCCAACCAAACCATGGTTCTATTCAATGTTAAAACAGATTCAATACATTTACAGACACACAAGGTTTACCAAGTTTATCTCTGTGCTCCCTTTTTTCACAAAACTCCTGGAAGAGGTGTATCACAAAATGAATCAGTTCAACCAAAACAGATTCTTCAGGAGAATGGTAAAGAGAGAGCCCAGAGTAAGAGCTTCCTGTCATACTTTCAGGACTAACACCAGTGCACATAGATGCAGACCAGTACACACTAAGAGAAACTTCAATAAAATGAAAATGGCAGAATACCTAATACGTACAAATTTCTTTAAGGAAGATTCAGACAAACAGCAGAGTAGTTGGGGTGCAATTGCTGGTATGTCCAGAGTAAACTAAGCAAATGAAAAATAAAATCAATCAACTCTGAAAGATAAAAACTTATACAGGAAAAATAACCATAGTTTATTAACTGTATCACCTGAAGTAGGAAGTCAACAGATAAATACCTAAGTCAGAATAATCAAAAGGTAGCAATATTGTTGTGTATACATATGTATGTTAGATATACATGTATATATGTATATATGCATATTAGAGATATGACAATAAGTAACAAAAATAAACAAAACCAACAGAACAAGTTAATAGCAGTTTCCTTTGGGGATGCAGAAATGAATACAGGGATCGTGGGTACTAAAACACATAAAAAATTGAAATAAACTAGGCACTGTGGTTCACAACTCAGGAAGCAGATGCACCTGTCAAATAGAAGGACCACAGTCCGGGCCAGCCTAGGCATAAAAATAAGACCCTGTTCAAATAACTAAAGCAAAAGGGCTGGTGGCATGTTCAAGTGATGGAGCCACTACCTAGCAGGCACAATGCCCTCAGTTCAAACCCCAGCACTGAAAAAAAAAAAAATTATGTAATTTCAAAATTTGATTACCAAACTGCTTATTTAACAAACATTTAAAAAATGATCTGTGTTCAGCAGGTTTACAACCTAACACACCTGTACTTATAGCTGATTTCCTAGCTGGAGGTTTTTGGAAGGATTACCTTGTGCCATTAAACGAGGAGATTTTCTTGGTGATCTCACTGAATTGTCTTCTACTTTTTCCCTCAAATTTCTGTTAGGTAAAATCAATTCTTCTTCATCAATGGTATCATTGCCACTTTCTTTAACAACTCCTTCATCCATAATATCGTCAAGACCAACAACTAGAAAAAGACAAAAACGACAAAAAAAATTAACTTTAAAAATATTGGGGATGTTAAGAATTTAAAGGTAGTACAGAAAAAAATTGTGGGAGTTTTGATGTAACACTTCATAGTCATAAAAGTCTAGGTCTGTTCCTACTTAGCTCCCTCAGCAATCTAGTCCGACAACCTCCTATCTACTGAGGCAACCAATCAAAGAAAGGATGAGTTATAATCTTCCCTGATTTGACCACAACTCAACTATGACTTCACTTATCATTTGATATCCTCTTGAGAATGCCATAGGCAACTATACTTGGAACGCTCAATTAGCCCAACTGTGCTTAAAGTTGTACAAAGAGTTCCATGCCATGAAAGCTTATGATTCTAGGTTCATTCCAGAACCAACTATTCCAATTCTAACTGTGATCCTAAGTAGAGATTTAATGCTGCATGTGCAATAAAGATGTACTTCTGAGTGGTGAGAAGAAGAGAAGAAAAAGGAGGAGAAAATAGTAGTGGTAGCAGCAGCAGCAGCAGCAGCATCAAGCACAGTGGTGGGGGTAGAGGAGGAAGAGGAGAGGGGAAAAAAAAACACAGAGAAAGAAAAAAATGGAAAAACATAACTTTACTTTTCCCCAAATGGTGGGGGCAAACAGAAGATAATGTACCTATAAAATTAAATTCCTTTCTCCTGATCAGAAAAGACATAACTGACGAGAGAAAGAATGAGAAAGGACTGTGAAACACTGAAAACATTAACACCGTCTTCACATTGTCATCAGGGTTTTTTCTATGTATATAACAAATGCCACTTAACTACCCAATACGTGTAAATAATTCTAAACGTATACTTGTATGAAATCTTGTACAAAGAATGTTATTTAGATCAAAAGGTCTGGATTCAAATCCCTACTAGAATATTTAAATTAAAGTTGATTAAGTCACTTAACCTATCAGTTTTCTTTATCTTTAAAATGAGAATTTAATACTTGCCCTACCTACCTCACAGGGGTGTTGTGAGAATCAAGTGGGATGATATATGAGAACTCACTCTGTAAACCTTAGAGTACTACGCAAATGTTAATTATCTTCATCCTAGGGGTTAGAACGACCCTCAAGAAGTTATCTAGTCCTCATTTTTTTATCCAAGGAGAACTTCATTTAAAAGAGCTCAATAAGTTAGTGGTCTACCCTAAAATTTAAAGAGAACAAAATTCTGTATAAATACTTTCAAATGGCACAATCTTTCTGAAGAGCAATGTTCATACCCTTTGACCAAGATAAAAGAAAAAAAAAAAAACAGAGGAAAGAATGGATTGCAAAGAAAATACTGGCCAGAAAACTTAAATCTGATCCATGTTAGAAATAATCATTCAGGTGTAGATGGCTCACACCTATAATCCTAGCTTCTGGGAGACTGAGATCTGGAAGATCAAGGTTCAAGGCAGCAGGGGCAAAAAGTTTGCAAGACCCCATCTCCATCTCAACCAACAGCTGGGCACGGTGGCATGTGCCTGTCATCACAAGCTACATAGGAAGCTGAGCGCTAGAAGATCACAGTTCCAGACCAACCAGAGCAACAAAGTTTGCAAGAACTTATCTTGATGGGAAAAAAAAAATGCTGAGTGTGATGGTTGTGTAGCTGTCATCTCAGGGATGGTGGGGAAGCTTAAAATAGGAAAATTGCAGCATAAGCAAAAAGCAAGACCCTATCTCCCAAAATAATCAGAGCAAAAAAGGGATGGAGACATAGCTCAAGCGGTCAGAGCACCTGCCCTACAACTGCAGAACCCTAAGTTGAAAATCCCCAGGACTACCAACCAAAAAGCGGGTGGGGGGGATGGAAATCAAACAAATGAAATGCACATCCATGTGCATTCAGATAGCAACAGCTAGGGAAAAGATTGGCAGGAAACAGATGAAAATTATTAACAATTTTAAATAGCAATTTTTTTCTGTAAGATAAAGAATTTGCCTTTCTTCTATTTTTCCCAATGTTCTGCTATGAGCATGTATTACTTTCAGAAACAGCCTGTGATTTTAACCACCATGCTATACACTAAAGCTTAGAGGAGAACATGTTCTAGAAAAGTTAATCAGGATGTACCTGAAATAAAACTGGGGTAGAATCAGGTGAAAAGTCTAGTTAGGCTACTCCACCATGAAGAAAAACTTATATTGCCACACATTCAAATTCTCAAAAAAAAAAAAAATTGGCATTAGTAATATTAAGACTACTTTTTATCTCAACTCTATATGAAAGCTTATAAATACATGCAATACAAAAATGTCTAAAAATGCACAGAAAAAACAGACTGTGATCCATGAGTATCTCTAGTATAAGGTGCACAAATGTTGTTATTGTGGTTCCTATCTATCTATCTATCTATCTATCTATCTATTTATTTATTTATTTGGCAGTATTGGGTTTTGAATTTACTATTTCGCGTTTGCTAGGAAGGGGCTCTACAAATTAAGCCACTCCACCAGCCCCCCCCCCCCCTTTTTGTGACGGGTTTCTTCAAGATGGGATCTCTCAAACTATTTGCCTGAGCTGGCTCTGAACTGCGATCCTCCTGATCTCTGCCTCCTGAGTAAGCTAGGTTTACAGGCATAAGCTACCAGCACACGGCTTTGTAGTTATTAACTTTTTTATACTTTCTTTTTTACTTTGTAGTTCTTAATTTTTCTTATATTTTCTGTTTTCCAAATTTTCTGCAAGCATGTATTTTGTACTGTAATGAAGAGAAAAAGGAACCACCACAAAAGAGGAAAAGTCAAGGAGAAAAGGTAATTAACAGTGTGTGCTGGCAGGAAGTAGAAAGTATGTCATACATTTCACGGCGGTACTGCAAAATCAGTCAGCAAGTTTGAAGACATTCCATTTCTAGCAGCACCTGACACAGCTCATCCCTCTCTAATCTGACCATGTTTGCACGTACTAGAAAATAAACTGGAAGGTAAAGTGGTATCTTGTGGTCCTACTATGGTTTGACTGTTCAAGTATTGAAAAATTTAAATCCCCAACTTCATATGTTAATAGATTTTGGAGCTGGGGCCTTTGGAAGCAATTAAGATTAGATGAGGTCATGACAGTGGACCCATGCTTGCTCTGTCTCACCATGGTGTTATGATATAACAAGAAGGCACTCACCAGATGACAGCACCTTGCTCTTGGACTTCCCAGGTTCCACAACTCGGAGCTAAATAAACCTCTATTATAAATTACCATTTGTAGAACTCAGATACAGAAAAAAATCTCTTGGTCAAAAACCTACAGGTATGTAACTGAGACTGCATTTGAAATGTTTCTCAAAGGTGAGATTTTCAAGAATGCATCCTTTTCTGTACTCCTGCAGCTCCTTGAACACATTTCTTTCACTGCTACAATGAATCAAGCTCTATACTGCCCCTAAAGACTCCAGGGCTCTCACGCTGACCAAAGCCCCACAACTAAGCACCTATTTAACCTCTCAGTGTCTCAAATTCTTCTAGAAAAAATGGAGACAATACTAGTACTGGAGCATTACTTTTAGGATCAGCTTATCAAGTATTTAGAACTGTGTCTGCTACTTAGAAAGCCCTAATGTTCCGTTTGACATCTCCCTTAAGTACCCTATGATCAAAACTTAGGTATTTCTTCTCCTTCTCTTCTTTTTCTCAATTCACTCCAAAGAAAATAAACAATAAAACAGGGACCTGAGATTTCTGCTAATCTAATTAAAGTAATTCAAAAATGAAATAATCTGCCTAAAATCCTCATAAGTAAATACTGGTATTTTTAAGAGTTCAATTCAATTGCTGCTGCTGAGAAAGAAAAAATGAAATTCTTCCCCAGAACACTGCCTATTCTCAGGCACTTCCTTCATCTCCCCACTTCACCACAAGCCAAACTAACATTAAGCATTTGATATTTGACTTTTAAAGATTCACCAGCCCTGGTCTAGAAGTGTGGCTCACTTGGTAGAGCACCTACCTACCAACTGCAAGGCCCAGAGTTCAATTCCGAGTAACACACAAAAGAAAGTGGTCAGTCCCACTCAATACATCAAAATGGGAAGTGGAATAAAAAATAAAAGGGGAAAAAAAAAAAGGGTAAAAAACAATGAACTGATTTTTCAGGTGGCAAGAGTACTAACCACACCATGCAGAAAAATAACATGCTTGTTCCTCCTCCCTCCTATGTTCTAAAACTAGGCTATCATTCTCATTTTGAAATTTTGGCATAAAATCTATGGTCATAAGTTTCCTTATGCCTAAATTTCGATCACATCTCGAACTCTAGTGAAGTCTCCTGACACTGACACTACTGTACTGCAGACTACTGATTCTATCCTTTCAGAAGAGGAGGTAAATGAGATTTAGTACAGTTAACTTGCTTTGTCAACAACTGGAATCTGTTTAGATCACTTTAATACCAAACAAACGGGAAGATTACAAGTCAGGAATACAGGGAACGCCTCACATTTACTATGTATTCATTATATAAGCATAAAGGCCACAGTCAGCTCAACTACTTTTAAGTTGGCACTCACTAATGGACATTAAAAAGATCTTATCTTACAATATTGCAACAATAAAGGTTAGGTATCTATAGGGCTTTGTTTTTGAAATACAGTAAGAAAATATATGAATTCCACTTCTTAAATCTCCTCAAGCCTCTACTGGCCCACTTTTCTCTGAGTTCCTTCTTTCATGAGTGACTCACATATTCACTCCTAAAAGAGGCCAGGGCGTGATATACTCTATCAAGTTGTACATTACATATAAAAAAAGTAACCATTCTGGAGTGAATTTATTTTTTAGATACTATCATGTCCTAATTTGAAAAATATAAATAATGCTAATATATATATATATATATACATACATATATATATATATAAATCTTTGTATCCCTTTCAATTTATTTTTTACAATAAACATTAAAGCATAGGTTTTCTGAGTCAAAAAAGGCAAATGTATTTATTTTACCATAATAGGTAAGTGAGTAAGTAGGTAACTAGAGATACATTAAA